ACAAGACGAGGGAGATATCATCTCCTCCCCAACACAGCGCACCAATATGCACACATCTTGAAGGGGCTTCACTATAGCAACTCTATATTACAGTAAGAACCGCGTGCTATCCGTGTCAATCACTTAATGAAGACGCAGTTAACCGAGATGTGTTGGACAAAAAGATCTGTCAACTGCACCCACAGAAGTGTTTGACAAACTAATTTAGCTCAGAAAACTGAACCTTGTGAGACAACTAGCTGAAAGCTATCCCAATGGAAGTTTGCAGGGTGCGTGCATCTGTAGTGACTGATTGCTACTGTGTGGTGCCGGGCTTACGAAGCCACGGCGGATAATGTGTTGGCATTATGTGTAGCCCACTAGCTGGGCGTAGTACCAGCCCTAGCGGGGTTTGGGTGAGCGCTGGTCAGCACGGAGGCCCCGCGTACAGTGTGCGGTACGGGCTCCAGGTGAGGGAGCGAGAGGGAGTGTCAGCCAGCCAGGGTTACGTTGGGGCATGATACACTGGTTGACCTGCCGACACGTGACCGGAAGATATTGGAGGGGGGGGCACCAGTGGACGGGGGCCGCTGGGTGGTCACGTGGTATAGAGGAGCTCTCGGTGAGCCTTCGGAAAAGAGCTTGAGAGATCTAGAAGGTGGGCAGGGCCAAAGGCGGAGCCAGCCCAGGCCGATATACTAACCGGGGCCCCGTGAGGGGCTCTTCGTGGTGCTGGTGATGAAGATCCACGTCGGATAAAATGAGCCTCTTGCCACGCGGTCCGGGACCCAGCTTGTGGTCCGGGATAGCGAAACGTGTCTAGTTCTGTCATAGCCATAGCATGGCTAGATGAGCATTCAACACCCAAGTGTAGGTTGTGTTATGTCATGTTGATTTATTGAATAAATAATGTTGCTCCAAAGACAACGTCGGCGACTCGGTTGGACTCACTACACGTCTATAGAGCTGGATGTACAATGACTATCAGTGTCAAAGTAATACTCATTACATGTGAAAAAGACCAAAGTTTTCCAAGTGCTGCTTTGATTACATATTCACGGTCACACATTTTAGAAGAACAGGGTTCAAATGGGTATTAAGCATCCAGCTCTAGCGATGCACGTGCACCTGGGAATACTCTTCAGCTGGTTTTCTTGCAGACTCAGATAAGTGAGCTGGGTCAGTTTGTTAAATACCCCAGCAGGTAGAGCTTCCAGATTATTATTGTACAAATATAGCTGCTTCAGATTCATCATCTGATCCAACACGGCCGCAGGATTGGATGTCAGTTGGTTGTCATTCAGACCCAGCAGAGTTAGCCGAGTGAGTTTTTCGAAAACCCCATTGGGAAGAGTGCTCGGATTTTGACTTAAAATGTTGGTGTCTGCAGGAATTCATATTATTTTGTTCTTTCGGTAAAGTCACGTAGATATAAAAATAATACAATTAAGGTGAATAAAAAATATAACTCAGCTCACCTTGTATCGTCAATTAAGGACATCTCACTGTCCCCAGGTGATTTGCTCGTTAGTTTAGATGTAGTTCCTTTGTTCAAAGTTACTGTGCCAGATAACATTGCAATCATTGAAGATTTGGTCCAACAAGGATTGAATGGTGATGTACCGCCCTGGTGAGACACTGCCTTACCAATACATACTTCACCTGGAATGGAACATTCTACAAACAAACTGAAGGCACCACAATTGGTTCTCTTATCACCGGTTGTAGAAAAAATTTATCAAAACTTTTGAGATGGACGCCATCCAGGCATCCACTCTACGCCCGTCCTTGTGGAAGAGGTTTATGATCAATTGCAGCGTCGCCAGATGTACCAGGCGGTCAAACACCTCCACGGGTAGAGCTGACAGTTGGTTCCGATTCAAAAACAGCTTCTGCAGATTCACAGGGCGGTCAAACACCTCCTCAGAAACCACCATCAGCCGATTCCCAGACAAATGCAAGATGTGTAAATTATCCAAAATGTGCCTGGATTAGTGTTTAAGACAGCCATACTGCAAGCCTCATATTCCAAAAGCATTTGTTTTCTTACTTACATAGTCGAGCCGTTATAAATCAAGACAATGCGTAATATAAATGTTTTATTAATATTTTGGCGCTTTCCTCCAGTGTATTCCAATTGTTATATCAATTCTAGGTCATGATATGAAGGATCATTTGGTAAATCTCAAACACCCCGTCGGGTAGAGGCGTTGCTGATTCCCAAGCAAATGACAACTTTATGAATGGAATCATGAGATAAAAACTACACCGTGATATTTTGTATAAAATTGCTTTAAAGCAATGACGTTTAGTGAGTGTATACCCAGTATGACAAAACTACTCACTTTCATGAATAACGCTACCTTGAGTATATTAGCGCATATCTAGGTATGCAAGTTTGTGCCTAACAACGGCGATATGCCACTAAGTGGCAGTGACGTTACTGCGGCACTTGTGCCAGGATATGTGCACTTTAAGGCCACGTAAAGTGTCGAACACCCGCTGGCAGGAGGTGATGGGACAGATCCAGGCGCCATGGGTTTGCAAAATGAAATGAATGGCTGATGCACCATCTGTATCCCGACTGCACCAACTTTTCTTGAAGGCACTCCCGCTCGTTGTTGTGAGCATCGCGCTTCTGCCCTTGGTTGTTGTTGGAGGGCAACTGCCCCCAACTGCCCAGTAGGGTCCTTCACGAGCCTCCTCCACAGAGGCCGATGTTGACACCACTTGTACCAGTCATTGGCAAGTCCACTTGGCTCCATATCCTCTCGTACCACATCATACCTTCTCTTCTCTAGCCCAAGCCACGCCCGTTTAGCCCCCTCTTTCCGGCCGAACAAAATCTGGTTAGGCATGCGGTGACTGGGCATATGGGTTACATGTAGTGCATTAGTACTTACATATACACATTTATAATTGTACTCGTACGTATGTGTATTGAGTACATTATGTGCATGTTTGTGTATGCGTGCACGTATGCTATATGTTAATAATACCTTGGTCTAGGACTCTTGAGAACGAAGCTCCTTTATAAAATATATTTCTTTAGAAATTAATCGATTAAAACGCGTCAAGTTTTAAATGCTGCCTGTGTCTTGTAAACTCAACCCAGTGGAATTATTTTTTTTTATTTAAAGCTTTCGTGACTGCAGGGATTCATATTCTTGGTTCTTTCGGTAAAGTCACGTAGAAGGAAAACAATAAAATAATAAAAATATAAACAATAAAATTCACGACATTTCGACTGCAACACAAGCAATGATCATCAGGTGTGAAAACCACAGCAAGAAAATTTGAAAAAAGTGGCGTTTTTTTAACGTTAGCACCACGGAGAGCGATTTGGCAGTTATTCAGATGGACGAGTCCATCTATGTTCGGAAAAGTGGAGGGGGGAGACGAAAATAATGGATGCCAGATGGCTTGCAAGCCAGATGGCTTGTAGCCAGATGGCTTACAAGCCATCATGAGATTCGTTCAGAGGCTATCCACATATACAAACACAGACAATTTCAACCGAAAAGATGGATTCTAGCTTAACAATCATTGGAAGGATTTGATAAAACATTTCGGGTTTTAATTGATTGATCACGCTTAAGGTGGCTTTCAGACCGCATCCATTATTTTCGTCTCCCCCCTCCTCTTACTGAGCATAGATGGACTCGTCCATCTGAATAACTGCCAAATCGCTCCCAGTGTGGTTTGTTTGCTGGACACAATGAGCAGCCAATCAGCGAAGAGCTTATCCGTGAGTCTCCCTCACCTCGGCACGATCAGCCACACGCTTCCCCGCTCTTCCCTCTCCCGCCTGCCATTGCTCGAGCTCCTCGTCTTTGTAAAATGTCATCGTGGTTTTTGCAGTGATAAAGTGGTTTTACTACCCCCGTTATATCATCCAAACGACCATCTAGTGCGAGTGGCCTTACTGGGCAAGACGTGCGGCGTGAATCTATCTATTTGGAAACGAAAATTCACAATAAAGAGGGTAGAGGCGGGAGAGAGGAAAAGTGAAGTGGGGTGTTCGCTAGGGTTATCACAGTCCACCTTAAGACTATTTTAAACCCAGACAAAGTGAAAGCCACTGTGCAGAAAAGTTTTGTTATTGTTCCCCCCATGTCGGAAGTCCTGGAGCAAAATCATTTATTCATGTTAATTTACTACGTTAAACCAAGTTCTGCATTGTTATTGTTCTCACGTCGCAATCTCTGTCTGTGTATATATCTTCAATAGAGTATGTATATGTAAATTTAATCACAACGCTATCAGTAACAAACGATTCACGTTGCAATCAAGCGTCATTATGTAACCACACCGTGCGACGCTGGAATCGAGTTTCCAATGAAGCGAGTGGATGGGACCCCCTGGGTCAAATACCCCCTGAGGCAATCGCTTTATGCGATTGTTTCCCAATTCCAGGGCCTAGGTGTTGTCAGGGATCCCAGTGGGAACTGAACTCAGTGGTTTGTTCCAACAGTTCGTATTTCGAGTCCAGACCATGCGTCGCACAAACACTGCAAGACCGAGACTCTAGCATAGACCTCGCCTACTCCAGTACTCAATCATCGCTACTCCACCAGGAATTTTACCACTAACCCACTCTTAATAACGCATATGAATAATATAAATTAAAATTATACGCTAAATATAGCACAATAGTAATATTAATAAAGCGCAACTAACACAATTAATGTATAGTTGCAGAATATCTCATCAGCTACATTGCTATTTCATATGGACGACTATGCATTTATGCACAAAAAATACATTTTGTACACCAACTAGTAGATACGCAAGATCTATTGTATGACCGATATAACTTGCGTGCTAATTACAGGAATTACCTGTGCAGTCATTATCAATCTGTGCCGGCCAGAGTGGTGGAGCGTTTAGCTTAATTTGGTTAGAACGTGGAGAAATTCCACTGCACGTTTTGAGGAGGGGTGCCACTAAACACTACCGGGAATTATCTCTACATGACCTATGTTCTAGTGTGATGTCACAACCGCATTCCATGTCATCTAGAACGTGTCCATGTTCCTAGCATCACTGTTTAATTGTCCACAGTGCTGCACGATGATGTCGATATAAAGGCTGTCAGGGACGTTCTTCAGATGCTGTTTGTGCAGACTCAGAGTCATGAGCTTGGTGAGTTTGTCAAAACACCCGGCGGGGAGAGATGTCAGCTGGTTATTAGAAAAATACAGCTCCTTCAGATTTATGAGGCGGTCAAACACCCCGGCGGGCAGAGCCGAGAGTTGGTTGTCGTACAGACTCAAGATAGTTAGTTGAGTCAGTTTGTCAAATACCCCGGAGGGTAAAGCAGACAGTTGGTTTCCATGCAAATACAGCTTCTGCATATTCACCAGGTGGTCAATCACCCCCGTGGGATATAACAATACGTTTTAACCTTTCTTTGTATTATTTTATTGTCCCCTTCTACGTGACTTTACTGAAAGAACCAATAATAATAAAACAGTTGTTAAGATATTAAAACACCAAACAACATCATTTTTTTCAAGGAATCCTGTCTGTATTAACCACACGTACTTGTGGCGAACATGCAAAAAAATGCTCTGATAATATATGGATTATGTTGGATATCTAAATTTTTCCAAAATTAATATCAATACTAATATTCGCATATATATTCTTTGTAATGACCCGAAATAATGAATAAAAACACACAAACCCAAAAACATGTATGTATATGTAAACTTAATCACAACGCTATCAGTAACATCAAACGATTCACGTTGCAATCAAGCGTCATTATGTAAACACACCGTGCGATGCAGGAATCGAGTTCCCAATGAAGCGAGTGGATGGGACCCCCTGGGTCAAATACCCCCTGAGGCAATCGCTTTATGCGATTGTTTCCCAATTCCAGGGCCTGGGCGTTGTTAGGGATCCCAGTGGGAACTGAACTCGGTGGTTTGTTCCAACAGTTCGTATTTCGAGTCCAGACCATGCGTCGCACAAACACTGCGAGACTCTAGCATAGACCTCGCCTATTCCAGTACTCAATCATCGCTACTCCACCAGGAATGTAACCACTAACCCACTCTTAATAACGCATATGAATAATATAAATTAAAATGATACACTAAATATAGCACAATAGTAATATTAATAAAGCGCAACTAACACAATTAAGGTATAGTTGCAGAATATCTCATCAGCTACATTGCTATTTCATATGGACGACTATGCATTTATGCACAAACAATACATTTTGTACACCAACTAGTAGATACGCAAGAACTATTGTACGACCGATATAACTTGTGTGCTAATTACAGGAATTGCCTGTGCAGTCATTATAAATCTGTGCCGGCCAGAGTCCGGTCCCATAGAAACTGCGAGAGAGATTTTCCCAGTGCTCACGCTTATCTAGAGTGAGGCTACATGGAGGAATGTCACATTCTCAAAATCAGCATCATCATCTTACACACAAATATACAGGGCATCATATTCATATATTCAGTGAAAAATACTCGGAGACGTTCAGCCCTGCTTTGTAATCTCTACATACAAAAGCGCATTCCTGCTCACGAGAGCTTTGCGATGTTTGGCTGCCTGTTCTTTAATGAGTTCCTTGCTCATGTGTTCTAGAAGGAACACGAGTTCTGTTTGACTACGCAGGTCCCAGTGAGAGATCTAGAAGGTGGGCAGGGCTCCATGCATACCTCATGCTAATTTTGTCCCATTGTCACTCAGCCTTACCTTCTCTGCATATTTAGGGCAACTTTACTGTGTGCTTGTCTCTGTGCTGGCTCGCTCTACTTGGTTGTCTGTGTGTGCGGTCTGTATTTTGAGTTTCATACTTTACTTGCAATTTAGCAATCTTTTGAAATAGCGTGATCAACCGGACTATGCGTTAATTGTGTTTTGACCGACCGTCTGTGTTGCTTTACATGGTTTCCAAAAATTTTGCTAAACCCTGTTTGTCTGGTATGCTTCTCTCTCCGTGTCCCCTGTTGTATCTGTGTCAGTTCCCCCCACTTGGGTGTCTGTATATACATCTGAGGTTATGTGTCTCCCCTCTCTCATAATTAGCTCTTCTGTACCTGATGGCTGCTTGTTGCAACCGAAACGTCGTACGCTATTATGTTATTTTATTATTTCTTATTTATACGTGACTTTACCAAAAAAAAACAAAGAGTAATTACCAGATCATCGCATACATAACGTGGTTGACCAATAGGGAGGCATCTCTGACCACACCCGGGCATCGATCAGCCTCCCATTATATCTGTAGCAGATGGGAATTATTCCGGTACAGGCATTGAAGGCTTAACGAACGACGTGGTCCAAAAATTTGTAAAAGAATGTGGGAGGCAGAGGACATCCCTGTCGCACCCCAAGGTGGAGAGGGAATGGCTCTGACTCACATCCACGTAGTTTGATGTGCGGCCGCTCACCATCATGAAGGTCCTTAAGGATCGTGAGCAGAGGGTCAGGGACTCCGAAAGCACGAAGAGCAACCCAGAGCCCAGGCCTACTGATGGTATCATAGGCCTTGAAAAGGTCAATAAAGCACACACATGGACTAAGACATACACATGGACTACAGGCACGCAAAGAAATGGACTTACACCGACTAACATGGAGGCACGCACACACAGCGACTAACACACGCACATGGACTGACACACACACACATTGACTTGCACACACCGACTTACAGGCACACATTGACTCACACACAGACATGAACTTACACAGACATATCGACACACATACACGGACTGTCACACGGACACATTGCCATACACACATGGACTTACAACAACAACAACAACCGCCATTCGCCACTAAGTGGCGGTGACGTCACCACGACGCTTGTGCCAGGCTATGTGCACCCTGAGGCCACGTGAAGTGTCGAACGCCCGCTGGCAGGAGGTCACGGGGCAGACCCAGGTGCCACGGGTCGACTGACTGAGATGACTGGCTGATGCACCACCTGTGCCCCCTACTGTGCCAACCTGCTGTGCTTTAGCCACCCGGCGCTCCGCTCGCTGTTGTGAGCGTCGCTCCTCCGCCCTCCGTTGTTGTTGGAGGGCGACTGCCTCCAACTGCCCAGTAGCATCCTTCACGAGCCTCCTCCACAGAGGCCGATCTTGACACCGCTGGTACCAGTCATCGGCAAGTCCACTCAGCTCCACGTCCTCCTGTACCACATCACTCCATCTCTTCTCTAGCCCGTGCCGCGCCCGCTTAGCCCCCTCAATCCGGCCAAACAAAAGCTGTTTCGGCATGCGGTGGCTGGGCATGCGGGCTACATGACCCAGCCATCGCAGCCTTGCCTGCCGGAGGAGCTCACCGATGGGACCCTGCCCAGATCTTTCAAGGATTTGTGAGCTCCTCACACAATCCAGTCTGGTTAAACCCAGGATGGATCGTAGGCAGGTCAGCCTAAATGTTTCTAACCGGCGAAGATGTTCCATTAGGGGGGTCCACGTTTCGCAAGCGTAGAGAAGGGAGGGAATGACCGTGGCCGAGAAGACCTGAAGCTTAGTGCGGAGCGACAGACCAGGTAGCTTCCACACAGCGTTACGCAACCGATGAAAAGATATTGCCGCTCGACTGATTCGGAGTGAGACCTCTGCTGTTAAACTGGAGCCAGTCATAAGCACACTGCCCAGGTATGGGAAACTCTCCACTCTCCCCACAACTGCCCCATCACCGATTGGGAGCCGTGGGGGCGGAGTGTCCGATGGTACAAAATACCCAGGCAGGTGCTTAGTTTTGGTGGGGCTGATGGTAAGGCCCCACCTCTTAGTGGCACGCTCCAGTCTCAGCAGCAGCGTCTCCAACTCCTCCTCTGACTGAGCAGCTATTACCAAGTCATCAGCATACATAACGTGGTTGAGCAATAGGGAGCCATCCCTTGACCGCACCCGGGCATCGATTAGCCTCCCATTATATCTGTACCATATGGAGATTCCCCCGGTACAGCTATTGAAGGCTTCACGAACTACGTGGTCAAAATAGATGTTAAATAATGTGGGAGCCAGAGGACATCCCTGTCGCACCCCAAGGTGTACAGGGAATGGCTCTGACTCCCGGCCACGTAGTTTTACCCGGGCCCGCTCACCATCATGAAGGTCCTTAATGATCGTGAGCAGAGGGTCAGGTACTCCAAAAGCACGAAGAACGACCCAGAGCCCAGGCCTACTGATGGTATCATAGGCCTTGACCAGGTCAATAAAGCAGAGATGTAGGTCTTGTTGGAATTCCCTACACCTCTGCTGTAGCAGACGGACAGAAAATATGGCATCTGTGCAGGACCGCCCTTTGCTGAAACCGCATTGGGACTTACACACACGGACTTACACACACACTAACATCGACGGTATGCACTATGACTACAGCAGTGCATACCGACTGTGGTGGTACCTGCTTTCACTACAGCAGTGCACACGGACTGTGGTGGTACCTGCTTGAACTACAGCAGTGCAAACCGACTGTGGTGGTTTGTGGTATCACTACAGCAGTGCCTAGTGACTGTGGTGTAACCTGCTATCACAAAGGCAGTGCATACTGACAGTGGTGGTAGCTGGTATCACAAGAGCAGTGCATACTGACTGTGGTGGTAGCTGCTATGATAACAGCAGTACATACTGTGGTGGTACATGGTTTAACAACAGCAGTGCATACTGAATGTGCTGGTACCTGGTATGATTATATCAGTGCATACAGTGGTGGTACCTGCTTTAGCTACTGCAGTGCATACGGACTTTGGTACGTGCTTTCACTACAGCAGTGCATAGTTAATGTGGTGGTCCGTGCTATTATTACAGCAGTGCATAGTGTGGTGGTACCTGCTTTCCCTGCAGCAGTGCATGCATAGTGTGGTATAAGCTGCTATGATTACAGCAGGGCAAGCGACAGTGGTGGTACCTGCTATGGGTAGAGTAGTACATGCCGACTCTATAGCAGTATTTATCGACTGTACAGTAGTACATGGTGACTTTATAGCAGTATATATCGACTGTACAGTAGTACATGGTAACTTTATAGCAATATATATCGACTCTGCAGTAGTACATGCTGACTGTATAGCAGTATTTATCGACTGTACAGTAGTACATACTGACTCTATAGCAGTATATACCGACTCTGCAGTAGTACATGCCGACTGTATAGCAGTATATATCGACTGTACAATAGTACATACCGAATATAGCAGTATATATAGTGACTATAGCACAAAATGCTCACGTGACAGAGTGCCGTGGTGTGGTCGTGAGCTCGACCGAACGCGCATGACTTGGCACGGTCCGCCCCCCACCCCCACGCAATTGTCGTCAGTTGGTAGGTCGATGTCGCGCAATAATTAAATAATTAAATGGCACTAAATCGCTAATTAAACTAATTTAAAGTTGACGGATGGGAAAACGGAATAGCCCATTCCCACCGCGGGGCTTGGGGCGTGCCACCCGGCAAATGTTTTAGTCGGAAAACCCCACCGTC